GTGATGGCCCTGATGAGGTCGAGGGACAGCCTGAGTTCAGAGCGACATTCACGCAACCCTACATTAATGTAGGTAGATTGGTAAGGGGTTTATATGAAAATGCAATTTTTGCCGTTATTTGGATGCCCACTTATTAGGCTTGTTTGGAGCTGCTATTCATTTATAAAATTTGGTATACAGACTATGACTTGGTTAAAAAACAACCTAATACTTAATAAGAGGCTAAATTCCCCTCCCCCCTCCCCAAATTTAAATAATTACAATGATTAGCTTCATGATGTACCAAAAGTTCAATAATGCATGTGGTGTTTGATTAGACTTGTACTATGATAATGTTAACTTGATTACTCATGCATACAACTAAATTAGATTATTGTACTATGTTAATGTTTTGCCTTGATTACTCATGCATATATCCAAATTAGATTCCTGTACTATGATTTTGTTTTGCCTTGATTACTCATGCATACACCTAAATAGATTTCAGAATATACTTACTTATTGATGTGATTCATTATTACATTGTTAATTACAAATGTAAAAATTAATCACATCAATAAGTATATTATGCATTGTTACTTACATAAACATTATTACTTATAATAGTATGTAGGTTAGTGATTATGCATTGTTACTTATAATAGTGGGTTAGTGATTATGCAATGGAATGCAAAAATAGAAATGAATTTTATATAATTGAATTTGAATATATGAAATTATCTTTGTTGTGATGTTGCCATCCCTATGTTGACAATCAATTTTGTAGAATGTGCCATTGGATTTTGCGAGATCTCATTTGGACTCCCTGAGGCCTGAAACGCCAGTTGATGTTTGGATGAATAAGAAGTACCCGTCATGTCTCTATGTTAAAAGGAACTCACGTGACCAGATTAGGCTATGCAACATAAGGAATGGAATAACAAACATGATTCGGGGAGAGAAGATTAAAAAGGGGGATAAAGTGGTGGTGCAAATGATTTCCAAATCTCCTCTGGCTTTCAAAGTGTCCTTTGCGTAAACCATGATTGTGCTTTTTTGGTCTCGTTTTATGTCTTACTACATTTCGACTTGCCCTTTTTCATTTGAACTCTATTATGTTATTTGTATCTTTTGGACATGTTGCTACTTTGTAATCCTGAACTGTGATTATACCATTTTATCTTTGTACATTGATAATAGTTCGTTTAAACATACCTCTAATATCGACAAAACATGATATTCGTTGGACCGAAGTTGTTGTTTGAAAATCTATTAGATTTGATATTAGAAGTAACCATATATTGATTTGATATTAAAGGTGTTGACATTAATTATGAAAACCTATTGCTTCAAATGAAAATTTGATTATCATGTTCAATATTCATAATGAAGCTACTAGACTTTCAATATTCGAAAGCCCACTAATTTTTTATTTTTTGGTTATTAAAAAAACTAGTATGTAGCCCGTGCGATGCATGGGTTAATTCTGTTAGCTAAATATAAAGTATATGTTTTTCAATAAAGAATTTTGCTATTGTGTATTAAATTGCTCTTAGGTAGGTTACTTTATTTTTTTAATTTTTAATTTTTCTTTTTTTCCCCTTTTTTTTACACTTTAGTTGAAACTTAAAATATATATATATAAAAAAAAAAGGACATGTGTCACTAATTAATTGATTTGCCACTAATTAATAGTATTGATTTGCCACTAATTAATTGACACTAATTGTTACTTTTTTTGGTTAAAAAAAATCATGCCTCTAATTAATTGCACCAACGTAATTCAATGAGTGTGTAGTACGGTAGAACACGAAGAGGCATGTAAATTAGAAAGAAATGAGACTGAATTACACTATACAGATCATTGCATCGTTTAGCGCAAAGTGCTGCTTTGTTTCAAGCACCAACACCACCAAATTACGTCACACATCATATATAAACTGACATCATCCTTTTGACGCAAGTTTTCTGTAAGTTAGAATTTTAAACTTCTCCTAAAAATGGAAAACACTGGAGCTTCAAGTTCGAGGATTCAATCAGATGAAGAGACTTTGCAGCGGTGTTTAGATAAATTGATGGCAGAATTGGCTGAGATGGACGGTCGTCGTGTAGAAAGGAATTGGAAATTTTGGAGATCCAATCTCAACTCATGGACATGAAACAAGAGAGAAAGACGGGGACGCTTAATCAGGATGAAGGCCCTAGTAAGAGGCGAAGAACAGAGGAAATCGAGAATGTCGAAGAAGCAAAGGAACACCCAGAACATCAAGGGATTGTTGTAGCACCAGAAGAAGGAAATGAACAAGTAGGGGAGGAAGAGTCAAAGGAAGAGGAGGCTAGTTCTGAAGAAGGGGAGGAAGAGGACTCTGAAGATGATGGTTGGTCTGATGACTCTGACCGTGATGCTGGTGTTGGTGTTCAAGTCCCGCCACATCGAAGATGACCAGGAGCCAGATGATCACATTTTTCCCCTTTACTTGTCTGGTTCAGGTACTAATGGTGACTCTGGTTCAAGTTCAAGTGATGATTCCGACGCTTATGGTCGCTCTCCCCACAACTACTACAACATGGTATAGCCCTCCTTCTCTTTGCTCCGATGTTTTTTGAAAATGAAAACAATATTTTGTGGATTTGACGTGTTGTTTTAGATTAACTCAGTTTGGTTGCCTTGGTTTTTTTTTTTTTTTTTTTTTTGGGAATTTGAACAATGGCAGGTTAGGTTTTGATGTTAATGTTTTGATGTATATGATGATGTTAAAGTTTTGACGTATATGATGATGAAACAATTGCTTTTGGATTTATGGTTTATGGTATATTTTGTTATGAATGCTTGTTTGTGGAATGGTTAATTAAAAATCTATATGCTGATGACTGATGATTGAACATGTATTTACTGGATTAATTTCGTAATTTTCATTGTTATGATGCCGAGTTTGGGATTATTGTTAAGACGCTTAGTTACGACCCTGTTTTCTCAAATTGCTTGTTAAAGTAACACTACGGGAGTAGCAGGTGCAAAAGGATGTGATAAAACACATATTGAACACAGTTCATACGTTGAAATTACATCATTATGATAGAGATCTTTAACATTATAGTTCTAGTTTTAAAATTATTTTAATCCACCAAATGGGCCTAAAAACTTGGTTATAGTTCTGCATAATAAATAATTAATAGTTTATTCTACTTTTCCTACATTTGCATCAAATTATACTGTAAACGAATAGTTTGAACATGGTATTTCATCCAATGTCCCTAAAATATGTCTTTATGGTTTGAGCATCTCAATATCTCATATAGTATGAGTAGACTACTGCATTCAATCCAATGGGCTAAGGACCTTTGGTACTTGAATATTTTAATATGACTAATAAGATGTGACTGGCCCAATTTGGCCCAATTTTTTATTGGTAAACATAGTATATTATTGAAACAAGATATAATTGAAACAAGTTACACTAGATACAATTTGAATTAATAAATTGGGTCAAAACATAATGGTTTAAATTCATAATTTACTGCCCATTACTTACAACTAAATCTGACCCAAATATTATACGGAGTGACATATTGGGCTTCACCATAAGTGAAGTCTGACCCACATAATTACAAATTGCCATATTGGACTTCCCCTAATTCAGCTATATTTTATAACAAGCAGACCACCCAGATATGTAATTGAAGAATGCTATACGCAATAACATTTATTCTAATCTGGGATTTATGATCATAACAAATCAATTATTTTTATTCATTTATATTTTGCGCCTATTTTTTTTATTTATGACGGTATAATTAATGTATGTAATGAAATGCAAAAACAACTGTTAATGACTAATGGATAAGCAATATAATATTGAGGTACTGTGTAATTTTTTAATTACTTAAGTTTATATCATTATTATACATGAATTTAAAAATTGATTTCTTAAAAGGGGAGTAGGTGCATTGATGAGATATGGGGTATCTGAAGAGATAACGGCCAAGCTGCTTAGTCAACATTAATGCTATTACCCAAATGTCCCAGGTTTAATGATGGAAAAGACTGTTCTACCCTATTGATTGACGAAACAAGTTGATCAAATTGACCAACTTGTATTTTGCGCTAATGCTAAGGCCATTTGGTATGCCTCTCCTCTTAGACTTTCTGATGATAGAGCTCTCTTCTTATCTTTGCGTGATTTATGCCCAGTGCTTTTAAAAGACAATAAAAACAGGGATGGGTGGGATATATTGTGGAGCATTTTATGGGGAGTGGTCAAAAGGAATGCCTGGATTTTTGAGAAGAAATGTACAAAGATTGAGGATGTGATTAACAAAGCTTGAGTTTAGTGGGTAATACGAGAAAGCAAGAGATGTTTCTTCCTCAAATTTGTGCAACTTTGTTGGGGTGATTGATAATTGTACTGCTCCTACTGAGGGTATTTATAAATTAAATACTGAAGTTACCTGCTTTGACATTGGCTCTACTAGTCTGGGTGGCGTGATTCGTGATTCAGTTGGTGATATAATGGCTGCTACTTGCCGAAACTTACAAGGAGGTTTTTGACACAGATGTTGGGGAAGCTATGGCAGCAAGACATGGGTTGTCTATTGCTCTTGAGGTTAGTTTGCGTAGGGTTATTGTTGAATCAGATTGTTTAAAGTTAATTAACTACCAGAAGAACAGCATACATGATTCACCCCATTTTAAGTTTATAAGGGAATAAATTAAATTATGATGAAATGTTACTGTACAAAGTAGGCAAGATTGATTAAGATTGAACAAATGAAACAATGTAATGGGAAGAGGAGAGAGAAAGGAAATGGGTGAGAAACAGGATCCCGCGAAAGAGCTAGCACATATTAGTCTTGTTGAGCATAGAGATTTCGATTCAATCAAAATTGGAGGAATAGAATTCAAATTTCAGAAGTATGCTCTATTTTGGCACCAACAGGAATACTGGATAAATGTATATACACATTATCAAAACATTATAGAACCAGGTCCTGTAAGATATATTTACACATTCTTTGCCATATTTTTGCGAAGAAATCTCGGTCAGTCATCCTCTATCATGGACAGCTTCCCAACATAAGAAGCTTCCAAATAAATCAGACAAACCCATGGCCTCTGCAGCACCACCACTAAATCAGCTGTCACCCTTAACTACCTGTTTCGGCTAATCTACACCTTGGGGGGGGGGGGGGGGGGGGGGGAGGAATGAAAAAACCTAATTCTAGTCAGATTCACTAATAAAACCTCATTCTGTAGCAGAATTAATCTATCTATTCTCAATCAGAAATATGAATAGCAAATATCATCAGGCTTGACCAGTAGACCTTGGAACATACTTCACTGGACCGTTGGACTGTAGCTCCTGCGGGAAAAATTTCCTTGTTTTAGATCAGTCACCGAGTAATTTATCTTCTTTACAATTTAATTGTCAGCTGAACATGGTTCAGATATGCCAAACTAAAATATTAACAGTCATCTTGCAAAGTTTCTTCCATCTTTGCGTGGATTTGCAATTGGCAAGCTTGCTCCCTCAGGGCACAGACCCAAAATCTACATGTCAGAAAAATAATTAGCCACCCCAAATTAATAATGCACAGGCAGCATGATACAGTTACACTAAGAAGTGCAAAGGATGGGGGAGGGGAACACTATGATGTGCAAGAGAAGTGATGGGGGATTGGGAATGTTTCGACGCTACTAGTCAAGTTATATCTAATATAGAAGCACATACGTTAATCTAAAATTTATATCAAGTAAATTTTTAATAATAAAATTTTACCAGTGCATGGAACAAGCCACCAGTCTATTAAATTTTCCAAAAGAGGAACAAAATTGTGTACATTACCTACCTACCAGATATTCAAACTCCAAAGATAGAGATAGAGATAGTTACATTATTTACTAGGAAAGAAAACAGCAGGAATTTCCTTGTAGAATGGAATATAATGACATTGAGGCAATTAGAATAAGATCAAAAGGCCCTCTAGACCCAGCCCCAGATCCAAGGGAAATTAGTAAAGACTTCAAAGATAGACAATTTACCTAACTCTAATCTCTCGAATAATGCAAATTCAATACCAAGCCTTCTATCACTTAATTAAACTAAAATACAAAGAAAAACTACTTAAAACAAACACCAAAATGAAGAAATATTAACTGATTACAAAATTATAAAACCTAAATAATTACAGCACGCCTTACAAATAAACAGTATACCAAAAACAAACCAAAAAAACCTAATTACTACCTCCGTTTCATATTAATTTAACCTTTTGTCAAAAATGGATGCTACACATTATTTGCAACAAATGTTTTTTTTTTTTTTTTTCCCTTCTTAGGTTGTCATTTTTCTCTCTCTCTCCTCATCACATGCATCCATATTTTCCTCTCTCCATTTTACACTAAGAAACAAACTTTGCCTACGAGTCCGTGTAGTCCTCCAAAGTTGCAAATAATATAAAACAGAGGTAGTATTAATTACAACGGATAAGCAGCATAATAAAATAAAACCAGCCGAAGGTGAAGGATCAGATCTGGGGACCTCAAAGATTGAAGCAGAGATGATTTGAACAAAGGCAGCAACACTACAGCAAGAAGCATGACTAAGAAGCAGACATGACAAAGTGCTGTCAATTTGGTCATCAGCAAGGCAGACGGTGGATCTGAAACTTAGGAGGCAGAGGAAGAGGGGAAAACATCCAGACCTCACTGAAACAAAACAGATGATGAACTCACTGCTCCAAGTCTCCAACTCAATAAGAGAAGAAACAACTGAGAATAGGCTACATTGGTGATCGATGAACAATGAAGGCTTGAAAAGACATCAATCGTAGTATAGGGTTAGAGTCTTAGAGATGGACATCACTGGTCGAAAAGGAACAAAGAAAGGAAGAGTTAGGTGATGCTATAGAGTTTTGATTAGCTAGAAGGAGGTGTGGGCATATCGATTAAGCCTGCAAGAAAGGAAAAGGGCAATGTGATATCGACTGAGGGGAGTGATGACTAGACACATGATTCTGGGATCCTTTCTTGAGAGAAGTCAGAGCTTCTCCCTCTAGAAAAGAACCAAAGTTGAGAGCTTTTGATTAAGTTGCTTCATATAATTCAACATGGCAAAACGAACTAAAAAAAAAAAAAAAAAAAAAACCAAACTCATACCAAGTATGGTTCACGAATTTCCTTTCCCTCAGTTATAGTAGGTATCTCAAAAAAATCCAAACATAGATCATCACTATTATAGACATTTAAAAGCAATAATAGAGTATATGTTACTACTATTATTTCTCAAGGGAGAAATGTAGTACCTCAATCTGGATCCAGTTGCCACATATTTATTTCAGATTACACTACATATTGACAATAATTTTGACATAACTGTAATCAACTTAATGATCCAATGAAACAAAAAAAGATGTATGGAATTAATTCACAGTGGCATTTAGAAGAAGTTTTCTTCATTAAACATACCATTGAGCTTTAAGGCAAGTATCTACCACAAATTCATAATGGCCATAGTACATACCTGATATGCAGGAGAACACGCCCAACTTGATCCACGTGATCTTCCAGCAATGTTAGACAATAATAGCCCACATCTTCATTCAACTGATGGGCCACCATATGACAACAATTCTTCACAGATAATCAAAATTGTGAAAGGTGAAAAATCAGCCGTTTCCTAAAAAGCATGATAAAATTGGCTCTGAAAGGTAAACCCTCCAAGGTAAAAAAGGACAACCACTATAGAAATGGAAAGCCAATTTAACAATTAGCCTCCCACAATGGTCCCATAGAACGTCTATAACACGTCCAAGTGTGCTACTACTATTTACATTGATTGGATGTGAGGTTCTTAGATGTTTGTATACAAGGCCGTCTTCTTTGAGATCTTTGCTGGCGAGGAAATGTGAAAGGACCATCAGACCTCTTTCTACTAGCAGCAACATCAGATCCACATCCAGATTCACCATGAGTCCTTTGAAGTAAAGAATCTGGAAAGGTTTGTTTTAAGACTTTATAATCTACAACAATGAAACTTAAAAACAAATGACAGAAACATAAGAAAGAATATACTTCGTACATGTTTACATTAAATAAAAAAAACATAAAAAAATGGTAATGTTATCCTGGACATTTGAAGTAACATGGAAACATGTGACGATTTACATCTCAAATAGAACACATACTAAGTAGATGTAATCTAGATTGCAACCCTTCAGATCTTAATCTATGCAGTTTTATCTTTTACAGAATTACAGTAAATATTCAAGCCACATCAAAAATATCACAGATTGCTAGAGACCATCTAAGGGGAGCCATGCGATTAAGGCTATCTCTGCTGATATACACTCCATTAATTTTACCTTCCAATACACTCACCTCATGTACTCCCCCCCCCCCCCCCAAAAAAAAAAAAAAAAAAAAAGAAAAAAAAAAGAGAAAAATCCAAAGGGAATCCTGCTTGGGAATTGCTACTGTACTTCGAAAAACATGCATATATGACGTCATGGAGAAGATAGATATTCATCTTTCAAAAACAACTACGCAAGAGAGACTGCAATCCTGTTAACTATCACGCCTGATGCACGTCTCAAGAGGAAAAAAAAACCTCCAATCTACTTGCTTGAATGGGTTAAAGCCCTTAAAGGCAGTAAAAGTGTAGATGTTGCAGATGACAGGTACCTCCTTGGTATTACATGAAAAAACAACCTAACTTGCTGATGGGACAAGTCAAAACAGCAATCCGCAAATTGAGCATTACCACAATACGTAATCAGATAAAAGCTAAATTAAGCGTGCCAAGTGAATGAAGGTAGATTAAAAACAAAACCACCTTTTTTCAGTTGCTTGCATACTTTTAAAATGAAAATTGATTGTGGGGCAATATTGTCAGAATAGGAAACAAATGGGAATAAGCCATCTTCATTATCAGATATCTAATTCACAACGTTATAATGAATTGTTAAAGATACTATTTCAAAAGTCTAGCTGTTCCATATGAGTTTGTTGCATGTCTTGAATGTTGTCAAAGGATCCTTTCCATTTGGAGGAGATCCCCAACTATATTGATCTAGTCCAATTGCTCTCTTTTTTATGGAGACACAATAAACAGACAAAATACATACAACAAATTGACTAGCACGTGTCAATGTATAATTTTGACAATATGTATATAGAATGATAATAATTATTAAAATAATATTAATAATTCAGAATATACATTGAGACTAACCCAGCAATATATTTCACAATAACATTTGATTTTTATAAATTAGTAAAAAACTTAAGTCAAAGTTAATATATGAATAGTGTTATGTCATACTGCTGCTAGTATTTAAGAACGAAAGTAGTAACATCTGAAGGAGGTAAGATAATTCAGAGACAATTTAAGCATGCAGCATCTGAAAAGAATTGCCTTATTCAAATTTAAATTAAAAGATATAAAAATAAAAACTTTAGAGTAAGACATCCCTACCCCCTCATAGCATTTAGCTTCAAAAGAAAACGAAGCAACATTTAAACTGGAATGTATACCTTCTTTAGACCTAAACTGGTTTTGCAAATCCAGCCCATTTTCGCTGGCAGATTCCTGATGGGCCTCCACATTGCTGCTGGAACTCTCATTTCCATTAGCCCCTGTTTTCAAAGAAATCCAATCCTCACCAGGACTGCTAGTTAAAACTGGCAGCTCATTTCCGGAAACAACTGGATCTGGAAGGATAACTTCTAAAGGGATGTCCCCATTAGCAGAGGCAAATTGATGGTCAAATGTGTTGTGGGGATCATATGAGGTGATCACATGAGGAACAGGATCCATAGTTGAACCAGAGTTTAGCACACAATTAACAGGTCCTGAGTAGGCAGCAGGATTGTGCTCATTAAGCAAAGCTCCTGAAGTACCAAAGAAATCAAATCCAGAACCTCCTGGCAAACTATTGGGTGTAGCGGACTGAGAAATCAGAAAATCGCCAGGATTCGCATTGAAAATACCATGGCCCTCATCAGAACCAACAGGATATGAGCTGAGATCTTTTTCAGGCACAGGAATCGAGTATTCTTCATTTTTAGCATGACAAACCACAGGAGAAGTTTCAGGATAAACCAGACTAACATCATCATCTTCTGAATCACTGAGAATAATAACATCAGCACATGCAGTAGGAAGATTACAATTTTGGCCATTAGATTCATATATTTGGCCAAAGTTCGGCAGGCTTGAGCTAACTTCAGGTTCATTCATATCAGAAACACCAAATTGCTCAACACCATTTTGATTGATACTCGGGTCTCCATCATCTTTCAGATCTCCTGTGGTAGTGCTGCTCATTCTAATAATATTCTGGTCAATATTTTCAACTTCTTCACTCCCTTGTCCAACAGCATGCCAGTTGGCAACATTATTTGGCATGCCTGGATTTGAAGTATTGCACTCTGACACATATTCCCTCGCAGTTTGTGACAGGTTGGACACCTGGACCAAACCATCCGGGCCGTGCCACTGAGCAAGATCCCCAACTTCACGGGCATTCTTTACCCGCCAAGATCCATCAGGCTTCATGTCAATCTCAGTTAACTCTTCTCCACAGCTTCGCATCTAGAGTTCACAGAAAATAGGGTCAAGAATATATATGATGACAATAGAAACAGGATAACTCATGACCAGGGATTACCTTCTTTAGAATAAGATTGAAGAAAGGGTCAACAATAATATCTTCAAGGCAGTAGTTCTTCAAACATATAGGGCATTGCCACTGCAACGAATAGAAACAGTTTATACATGCATCATTTTATCGGTAACAAGCAGTCAATTTGTAAATAAAGTAAAAAACTTGCCTTCCTAGAGCGTTCATTTAGTCCCACAAAAGTTTCAAGATCAAAGCAACCCATGTGTGCACAAGCTCTGAATCTTCCAGCAGTCCTCATTCTAGAGCCGCTCATCTGTGTTTCATGTCCAAATCAACCCCCAACCATAAGAAATAAAACATAAAATAAAGAAAAAGATACAAACAATGCTTAAAAAGTCACTGTTTTTATAAAGCCAAAATGCCACAACCAGTTGAAAAAGAAAAAAAAAAACATAGTGAGACACTATTTAGCTTCAAACATACCATCAACATTATACTGTCACCGCTCAGGAAACGATTTCAGTTTTTCCTCTTTCGGTTTTTTTTTAAATTATTATTTCATTCATATTGGGGGGAGGGGTTAATGTCTGTACTGTTCAGGTGATTTTTAAAACACGCAGTGTAAGTTGGAATATATCATCAGGTTATCCAACGACAACCACAAATGTCCATGCAATTGATCTTTTTTCAAATGACTGAAGTGGGATTGTAGCCTAAAAAAATATTTCCCAATATAATCACAGAAGACAACAGCAAATAACCTGTTACAGAGTTTTTCGAATGACTCTTTTGGCTTTGCTTTTCAATAGTAGAAATTCTGAGGGAATGATGTATTATCCCTCCATAATTCAAAATCTATTACGATGATCATGCATCCATCGAAATATTACTCAACAGCAAGGAAAAAAAGCTGAATGAAATATTGGGGTAAATAATGCCGGGAATATTCTTTTAAAAAAGATTGACTTACAGGACAGCGGAGATTAACAGGGATTGAATCAGCAATGACCTCCAAATCACTATCACTATCATCATTGCCAGTCGTAATACCGCCGCCAATGCAGCGCTGAACTCGAGCAAGTGCATCCACAAATGATTCACCATCAGATTCCTTAGGAATTATGCTTAGCACCTAGATATACATATATACAATGAGTCAATGGTACAACAGAAAAATTAAGTGCATAGTCCAGGCATGCCTGCACTTCGTAGCAGCTAAAATCTACAAGTTGATTCAAAGACCTCATGCAAACAATTAAAAAAATTTGAAACATAAAAAGATAAGCAACCAGTACAAATTAATGCACAAGCACAAATGGATAATGTTCATACACCAATAAACTAAAGCTAAATACTTACTCCATCCCATAATGTTAGCCAGGAGATCAAGGTTCAATAATTCCATAAAGTTGTAAGGTAATTCCTCCTATTTTTAGTTGTACCATTTTGGCATTTGACACTATCACATAATTCACTCTGACCACCATTGGTATTAATATGTTAAGAGAAACAAAGTCTTTTTTTATCTTGCTACATTCATCTCAACGTATAGTTTCAATTTATCAACTTTTTATGCTTTTTACTACTTGACACCTAACAATATTAAGGGTCAAAAATGTGCACTGGAAAAAGTGCACTCGAAACGGAACAAATAAAAAAAAAATAAAAATAGATTATCTTTCTTCAAACATTAAGGCTATGTACATAGCTGGTCTCATCTGAATATTTTCTAATTTGATAGTGATTGCCCCATAAATACAATACAACTTATTTCATAACTAAAACAATTGAATTAGTATGCTATGATTTTATAGTACTAACAAGTCGTTTAGAGGCATGAGTATCAGTAAGTATTATACATAGCTTCAAATGAAAATCCAAATTTTAGAAAGAACAGGAGGGAAAAAATAACTATGGGATATCATCATGTTATTTGTTGTCAACTGCAAAACTAATTCAGTATAAATATAGACATTACATCAGTGAACCAGAACAATAAAATCAAGAAAAATGAAACAATTGTCAACAATTCTTCAAGCTAACAAGGTCAGCATCAATACTCAGTCGCAAACTACCCATTATAATAGATGTATTCATCAAATGCTTTTTTTTTACCCATCATATTAAAATGTAAGATAAATAAAAATAAAAATAAAATAAAAAAATCTTATCAATTCTTCCTGACAAATTGTTAATTCATCATTTAAATAAAGCACACAAAGTAGAATAGAATATAGAACATTAGTTTAACAATGTGATAAAGCATTAAAGAAAATTAAGGCCCAAATTAAAGCAATCAGGTTCAACTTTATGGTTTTCCATGATGAGAAAAAAATGAGGACTAATATTGGCATGGGGAGAAGGAAGGACCAAGAAGCTATAACAGTTAACAAGCGTTAGGAGCAGTATTTGAAGGCGCTGATGCGCAAGCCGATATTGGGTAAGCGCTTAACTTGGTCTGGGTGAGGCGATTTTTGGTTAGGCACACAAGGCGCACCAAAAGCGCCCGAGGCACACCTGAAGCAAATTTCTGCCAAATTTTTTTAACTGTTTATGTAGTGCGCCTCACTTCAAAGCGGCGCCCTGAGGCGCACCTAGGCGCTGCACAAGTGCATAACCCTTCTCGCTTCAGCGCGCCTTGAGCTTTTTTATACATGAGTTGGGAGGAGAAGGGGCTAGGCAACGGTGATGTTGTAGGGTGCAGGAAGGCCAGGAACGGCATTGTATAGGAGGAGCAAAGATGAGAGAGAAAGAGAGGAATTAACATTTTTAAAAATAAAGGTAACTGGTACTGTTGGATTGTTTTAAGAAGGAATCCTTATTATTACTCCATAGTAATTAGAATTTTTCAGAGATAAGCAGTAGTGGGATTAATACGAGAAGACCGCATATAGTGGGGTTTTCAGAGTTATTTCTTCGCCCCCCAAAAAATCCTCCTATTCTGTCTCTGTCTTATATACTTAATAAGAAAGGCATTGGAACAATGGTGCGGCAGAGCACGCTACTGCTGAATAATCAAAATACTAACTTTCCACATATAGCTCCAAGCCTCCAACCAAGGGGCGAGAAGGAGAGGTACAAGTCTACAACTCTTTACTTGAACTCCAGGACACACATATCAGGTACCATATATAGTTGTACAGATCCAACTATCCAAGTAAGCAACCCTTGGAATAAAAATTTTAAGACGAGCACAACCCAAAGAAAGAGAAATTTACAAACCCAACCCCAGCTCCATCCCTTCATTCCCTACACCTGCACACTGTCAAAATTCCCTCTATTAAAACAACTCGAACAAGCATCTCCCATCCATTTCCCTTCATTCTTCACTCCCTACACCTACACACAGCCAAATTTCCCCTATTAAAATACCTTGAACAACCACCACCCATCCATTTCGACTGTGATATTAGTATCTTCATCAAATCTAACATTAAAGGCATGAAAAAAAAATCTAGACATTACTTCAGCAAACAAAATAGCAACTTCTCAATAATTAACTCTTACCTTTTACATGTCAAGTAATATGGAGTAATTGGTAAAGGCAAGGCTTGGAAAGATATAACATTTCTCAAAGGGTATCTTAAATAAAAAAAATAAAAAATAAAAACTCAATGAGACTAATATTACAGCATGCAAGTCCTATACATGAGAGGCCTTCACCACCCAGCCAAGCTACCAATGGTAATTATAACAAGACACCATAGTATGTGCCTCACAGAAAGGGGGAGACAGAGAAGAGAGAGAGAGAGAGAGAAGGGCGACAAAGAAAGAAGGTTCAAACTGACATATCAAACGAGGGGAAGATACCTGCTCAAGCGTACGCCTTCTCACAAGTTTGACACCAAAACAAAAAGTACGGGCATCGGTGCCAGATAAAGATATCTTGTTAACTCCTTCTACAATGTACAATGTAATCTGCAAAAATTTATTATTCAGTGTGTTTCACACAAGTAAATGCATGAAATATAAAGTGAATATGACAAGTAAAAACATTCAATGATGACAAATGCTGTACAAGTATATTGTCCCTAAGGTGTTCCACCTTCGGTTGCATTAGCTAAGGCCTGGGGTTTGGTAGCTGATATTTTCGTGGTAGGTAAGTAAGGAAATAAAAATTACAAAGGGTCAAGATGCCCTAAAATCCTCGAGCAAAAAGAACAGAATTATAAATAGCAGAAATAAGTGGATAGAAATGAAAAGGCGGGGCCCACTAATGGAGTTATTTGACGGATTCCGTTTATAGGTGGTGCTAGTCTAAGTTTTTGTATCTATAAGGTAATTATGTTTAGAAAAAAAAGTTATATTAAGTACTTGTATTCATATGAACCTAATAAAAGGTAGTTTTTCACAAAATATATATATATATATATATATATTTGTTCATGAAGATGGTACATAGGTCTAGTTTGCATTCAGATCCAATTCCTTCTCAAATAGGAATATGACTCGAGAGACCCTTCAACGAGGGTGCGGTAAGGCAAGCGGTATTTGGCATGGCTAGAGTAAGGCAAAATGGTTCTTCCAAAACTGATAATTGTGACTAATAGCCTTATAACAGAGCTTTCTGAAACTGGGGTCGCTGATAAGAGAATGAATTCCAATCCCATCATTCCTGTTCCAAACAATGATCATTTACTAAGGTTTGGGACCCATCAATACGCTTGCTCGCTTAAGCCTTTAAAATGTCACAAAAGTATTGGTCAATAAGTTAGAGCAGGTAATTCCCAGCAAGATATTACAGTTCCATAGTGCTTCTACTTAGGCAAAGCAGATCAATGACATTGCTAATAAATCCCATAAAAAGAGAACAAGGGTGTAGTGTTCAGATAAGAACTAGATTAGTGCCCCTGCGATGCACGGTAGTAATAATCTTTTTTTTTTTTTTACACAAGTAATAATCTTTTTCCCATAATTAATTGTGATATAATATAAAAATGAGGCAACTCATATGGAATAAACAAATGCAATGCATATAGAAAAAAATAAGGAAAAAATTACTAAAATTACAATTGAGAAAAAAAACAATTATTGTTGATTAGTTGTGTTGTAATTATTTAAAAGTAGTATACATTATATTACATTAATGATAATGTATACTATTCCCAATAAAACTATACAATCTAGTGACTGTATGACTAAAGACTTATTTATAAATGCCCTATATTAATAAACATGAAAATATTAATCAAACAACAGAATAAAATCTACAATAAAACTATTAGCACAGCAAACATGTAAATATATAAATTACATATAACATATCACCTTTATATCCAATAAAATAATTTCAATAGAAATAAATACTACTCGGACCATTAAAGGCAATAATAATCCACAATTAGGCAACACTAACCTATATTATTAATAGTACATTTTCTGTTTATGAATTGATCCTCTACATGATATCATCACTCTTTGTTATTATATAAAATTGTGTATGTTTGAAGCTATCTAATAATTATTGTTTGTTTATTGCCTTAAAAGTTAATTTGTAGATGATAGCTATTATCGAAAAGAAGGATACACAAGAAAATGTCACTTGTCACTGTGTCCAACATATCTTTTACTATGCAACTTATTTATAATGTCGAATGTAATATATTCATTATATCAATCATATATTTCAGCAAAAGAGAATAATTTTTTTTTTGTATTCACTAAGATATTAATTTATTTAATTACGTAATAACAAAGAATTGATTGATATTTTCCTAGAATTAGACATATGATATAGCTGTCGAACACAACATTTATTTCATAGTCATATCTAATAATCCATTAGTCTAAGAAACAAAATATTAGAGATATTTGAAAAAAAAAAATTAAATAATTAAAGTGATCTTTTAAAGTAATTTCTTTAATATCAATTAATATTTTTTGTCAAAAACCTACTTATTAAAACCCGGATTTTGTGAGAAACTACCTAATGAAAAAATTGTTGTAATAAACTACCTTATAAAGGTAAAATATTGTAATAAACTACCTTATAAAGGAAAAATGTTGTAAAAAACTACCTAAGAAAAGGTAAAATGTTGTAAAATATTACCTATACCAGATTTCCACCGATAACCTCAAAACACTCTCGAAACCATCGCTTTCATTCCCAAAACTAACACAACTTGCTTGAAATCGCCGCCGCCATAACTAAACCACCTTTCAACCCCAAAACCACCACCTCCAACCCCAAAAATCACCATCTGGAACCACTAATTTACCCTCACCAACTCGGAATATCCTCCAACCACCCCGAAAATAACCTTACCACCTTAAAAACCAACCCTCACGGTGGTTTGGGGGTGTTTTAAGGTGGATCAACGTCGTAAAATTAAATCACCAGGGGAAATTCAATCAAAGGTAGTATCTTGCAACATTTTACCTTTTATTAGGTAGTTTCTTACAACATTTTTTAATTAGGCAGTTTCTCACAAAATTTAGGTTTTATTAGGTAGTTTCTCACAAAAAGTCCTATCAATCATATGAATCAATTGTGTTATTACTTTTTGGGCAAAATTCAATAATACTCTGTCTAAAAGATGTGCAGGCGGTAATGATTGTATCTTGTATCTGAACCAGTGGCTCACTTTTTCTATAATTTAAAAAGAGTTGGAATAATATTTTAGGTAAATGTGTATGGAAGAATTAAGAACACGAAATAAAAAGAAATACATTTTATGTAAATATGTAAAGATAATACATAAGATTTGGAATAATATTATTATAGTTGTATTATACAAATATTCTAAAAATAAAAGATTTTTTGCCAAAAAGGGAGGGGAGTTTTGGAGGGAAAAAACAGTACCTGGAAGTAACACGTGTCATTCCCGGTGTCTGTTTTAGTATTATGTTATTGATTTGAGAAGGCTCGCTATGGAGTAAGTTGGGTTTTTAGATGTGCTTATTGAGAGGAGTATATTCAGTGGGGACATAAGATGGGGGTTATTTTCTTATAAGTTGTTTTTCAATATCGCCACAAGGAGCCCCTAAAGAGTGGTTAACTTTATCGCGAGGATTAAAGAAGGGAGAACTTTGATCTTCTTATCAATTTTGTTCTGACATGCTTAGTAGATTTTTTGAGAGGGGTGTGCAAGTAGGGGCAATTGAGTGGTTTGGGTAGTTGGAGAAAGTTAAGTTCTCTTTTGCATTAAGGAGATATAATACATGCCGCAGTCACAAGCGTTATGACACCGGACCATGCGACTTGCTCTTTTACCAATCTATCAGCAAGGGCGTAGCGCGGAAAATGCTTATGAGCATGTAACAACACAAGCAGACGTCTGATTTACAAGGCCAATCTTGACTATTGGCAACAAGAGTACGGGTGTGCAGGATTGGCAGATAACGGCTGAGTGGGCCAAAGACGGCACAAATAGGACCAATCATTGATAATATGAGATGTTATAAAACATGCGATGACACTAAAGCTCTACCAGCAACACAAGCATTAAAGCAAAGGCAACAACTTTGGGTAGGAAGCTTGGATTCATTTATCATTGATTCACTACTCCCTAGAGAGCTTTACATTGAAATTACATAATCTAAGGTTACATAATAATTGCTTAAAAAAACTAGAAAACTTAATGTATGTCCTAGAAAACATAAAACAACGAAAGGGGTTAAACGTTCATGTAGTCATTGATTTAAAAAGTACAAGCTTATACTGATATACTAACCAATTATAGATTTTTGAAATGGTTTCAAGAGGATATGGCTTTCCTAATGTCATTCATCAATGAAAATAAACCTATTGGGGGATTTCTTGCATGAGGGTTTCAAATCCAATGTCCCACTCTTGCACCTCAACCCCCTTCTTTTTTGGAGTTGCTAGTGAAATGTAGACCACACTCAAAATTCAGAGTATACTTCAAACACATTAGAAAGGAAGAAGGGGGTTTATCTCTTAGGTGGCATTGTGGCAATGATATCTAGTATCCCACTCCACTTATCTTTTCAAAGTTCCTTTTTTGAAGATAAAAATATTATATACCTAAATCGAATAAAAAAAAAGGTGCATTGTCCCACAATATATAGGGAAAGGTACCAAAAAAACTCACTTTTGCACCATCATCACGTCCATTAGCTCCTAACTGCTGTGAAGCAGCTCTACTCACAGTCCTGACCGGGATACCTGATGATAATATAACCAACCAATAACAAAACAAGTGGCAGGATTTAATGAAGCTGTAGAAGTAAGCATTGGTCAATATGGGATGAACATCATATTGATAGATAAGGTGAATCAGTTACAAATGGCATCATAACAAATACACTTGCACATGTTAACATACCATTAACCTGCAGATCTGCATATAGTGGCCACTGCATCCGAAATGGAACACCATCACTAAAGAGCATGCACCAAGCCTGCGAAACAAATTAGTACACATTAAGAGTTATTGAATGATAAAATTTCATGTACTCATAACAACCAGAGTGTAGGAGAATAACCTGAACATCATATTCAGCCTTCTGCAACAATTCCCTATCCGCCTTTGTTAATTTGAAGTTCTTTTCCACGATTACATGTGGGTTTGTACTGAATAACATAGAGAAGTAAAAAATGCAGAAACAAACTGTTAACACAAAAAGGAAAACCTCACCTGAAAAACAGAACCATTTAAAGAGTATACAACAAAAAATGCTTCTGCAATTAAACCAACTAAATAGTTCCATATAGAATCACGTTTGACCATTACTTTTGTCTCTGGCACTCTATATGCTCAGGTAGCTGTGTGAGGCTGAGGGGTGGATTTTATGATTCTTAAAACAAAAAGTTCTCTGCAGTGTAGTATCATAACCTTCAAAAACTCTTTCCAACAAAACATATAATCCAGCTCTTCTCACAGGTCACAGTTTTCTTGAAAAAAACGAGTGAAAGATAAAATCTCAAGGCACGATACTCAAGTTTCTGCTAATTTCAATTCTAATTTAGATCTCATAACAAACTATCAAAACATATCCCCCCCCCCCTCCCCGGACGGGCAGATTCTAAAACCAATACCCCTCGGTACTTCACCTCATCTATCTAAAACTATATGCATTCCTCTTCCTAATCCTCTTGCTAGTCGATAAGTATAACATAATCCTTACATCAACAATTCATAATAAGCCATGATAATGAATATCTCAACCAAAGAACCAATGGGGTGCTCATACGTGGTCAAAGAACTCTCACAGATGGGAGAAATAAATAATATCACTCATAAAAAGTATACAGGACATGCATGCTTCGAATATAAGCTAATAGCTAAAATAACAGCCAAAAAGCAATCCAGCCCGAACCCACCACAATAGATCAAGATACAAACACACAAGTATGTGTGTATACATGCTGAAATACATACATATACATACACACACATATACAAATACATACACAGAAACCTACGTGCATAAATACGTGTACATGTCTGACTTGTGTCTAGTCTGTCTACACACATAGAAATAATAATAATTTACTATAATGAGCCCATCATCCTCTTGATATACTCATGCTATGTTCTCTCATACAAGAACATAGTTAAAATACCTAGATAATACAACAATATTGGTTGGATCATAGAATACCAAGAGACATTGCATACCCATCAACAGGAAGTGTGGAAGATGATAGCTTGACAGGATACAGAGGATGTGCCATAGTTGCCCAAAAGCTGCAAACATGTCATAGTTGACCATAAGAAAGAGCACCCAAAAAAAAGATTTAATACAAAAAAATGGGGGCAAAGAATAGGAGGGGGGAAGAAAAGTACCCACATTTATGTCTTATTTTACATTAAACCATCCACTTAATTTTAAGGTGAGACAATAAACTCTTTACAAGCACAAAACACAACTATGTAGTTGCCAGGTTCTATCATCAGGGTTAACCGGACCAAAATTCCTTGTTCTACCCAACGGCTTCCAACATCCAGATTACAGTCACGGATGATGATAAATTAAAGTAATTGCAAGCTAATGCCCTTTCTTTGTTTAACAGAGTCTCATAATACATCAAATTGCATCAATATCATGCCATTGGATATCAGGCATTTCAGCTCCCTTTGGGATTCATGTTCAGCTTATGTTTGTTCAAGAGTTTGCATCAGAATATATTATGTCACACTAAATTTTCCTTTAGTTAGAGGAATACAGCTGTCATGTGTAGCAAATAGTGAATTAATAATTTATCAAATTAACTCATATACTACGTGATTAGCCACTCATTTAGATGACATCTTATCAGGATCAGCAGCCTCATAGCCCAATTATTAACTTAGACAAAACTGAATACCATTATTTTAAATATTAATGAGCACATTTTTATGGCTAAATCTAATAACTAAAGATACAACTTAAAATAACAATTAAGCCCATTTACGCATCCACTGAAACAATAAAGGGAGCTTAACTTAGTACACATTTTAAAAGAAAATATCCAAACATTAACTTTATATCCAATAAATGACTGATATTGTGTCTAGCAACAGCTATCCCAAATCAACTCCCAGTCAAATCTCGTTTTGCTAGTTTCTATACTACTAAAGATTCTGACTAATGTCTTTCAAACAGTGTTTGCAATGCTACAGATATAAGCCAAAAGGCCCAAAACAGAACAGCACAATACAAAACAGAAAATTGAGCATAGAGGGAAGAAAATTTGTACATACGGATCAGCACGTTTCACTCGACAGATTTCACATAAAAACTGTATAGGCATGGAAATCTTCTCTGTTGGCTTCTCAGGAATGATCACACAGCTGCTATGTTGCCATACATTGCAATCTGGATCCACACACTGCATTGGCAACTATGTTAGTAAAAGATAGTTCACAGAAGATTTGTTTGTATAAAAGATATAGGTAAAGGCAAAATACAAGCGCAAAAGGGTTTTAAGTAAAAAGAACTAGAATTTGGCTCCTGCTGAGAATTAAATAGTGCAGATATGTAGCATATTTAGGAAAAAGACTGTCAATCCAGTGTTGAGGTGCAAAAATGCAATAGGTTTGGAAACAGCAAAGAAGATTGGAAGGGCAGCAGCCAAAAGAAAGTTACTAAAGAGGATCTCCTAAAGTACAAAGATCAGTCTTTCTAGCAGAAGCAGTTTTTGTGCAGAAACAAAAGCTGTTCACCTCATTGTACTTATTTCTTCTTGAACGATGGAAAAGAATTTTCAATTTTTTTTTTTTTTATGCAATAACATCTATGATAACAAACAATCCTCAACAACAGTAAGATTTTAAAGAATTGATACAGAAATCTTCTACCAATACCCCCAATGGACAAACTTGCATTCAGCTACAAAAACCAGGCATAATTTTGACCATGAACAATATAAATTAATGATAAGGCACGTTTACAGGGATTTTTATATCCAAAGAAGTTCTAGGGTGTGTTTGGTGAGACACTGATGACTCTACAGGATATGAATTAATGCACTTCTCTGATCCTAGAATTTTTGTTGAACTAGCACAAACAATTTGAACAATAATGCCAATTGGGCAATTGGATTTCAAAATTTTCAGCCTTTAGAGCACAAAAGACAATAGGGATTAAAGATACATACTCTGACAAATGGGAAATTATTCATGCCAGTCTGACCATCACCAATACTCTAAAAAAAAAAACCCAACCAACTACCAGCAATACAAACAAGAACACTAAGAGAAAAGACCGAAAGGGCCTAATCTCCTCCAAACCCAAAAAATACTTTACATGGGGGCTGCAGTTGAGGGAGGTCATCTCATTGTACTTGTCCAAGGGTTTCTCACTTTCAGTGTTTAACATAGTCTTTGTCAGAAATGTGTTTTGAGTCTGTCCCTAGGCCAATGATGTGCCAAGAAAGAACTATAAAGGCATGGATATCTTAAGTGGGGAACCTCATTCTTCTGATAATGCATGTGAAGGGAAGAAGCCAGTAAATCTTTGCAGGCAAATCTTCTTACTCCAATTGTTGTATACTCGTATAATTGAAGTCAAGTCTTGATTTCATGGATTAAAAAAAATATATATACATTATAAGCCTAAGGGAACCAAAAAAATTTCATTTTTGACCTTCATTTTGTTAAAATAAAGACCGACCACCTATGTTGCACAGACTCAAGTTTGGGTGTCGTATCCAAGTGGGGATCAGAGAATCCGATCCACCAATTCAAAAAATAGCCGATACGGGGATACGGTCAAAAGAGTGTCTTGACTAATTTTTTAGACACAGCTGGTATACAAAGTGTCGGGAAATTTTTAAGATACTTAATTAAAAAAAAAAAAAATAGTATAATAATTATCAATTAATATGAAAGGGTATTTAACAAAAATTGGTACTCCGTAATAACCAACATTGGTACTATTGTCAAAACCTATCCAAAGAAAATACTCAAAAGTAAAAGTAAAAAATAAAAAATCAAAAAGGGAATTAGCAAAGCCAAACAGCTGTCCCACACACTTTTACCTTCCCCAAACAACAGCTGTCCCACCCTTACCCTATTATAAACAGCTGTCCCACCCAGATTTACCCCATTTATTTAAGCTTCTACTTTCTCTCTCTATCGGGAAGCTACTGCAAGGTTGCAACAATGGAGTCCGCTGGGAAAGTCTGATCTACTCTTGAATTTCATACCTAGTCGTGACCGCAAAGTAACATAGTTCACCGATCCAATTGATCCCGACACTCGCTCCTAGACACTTTCCCGGTACGCGAGTCGACACCTCAACCCAAGGCGTGTCGAGCATCGTGTCGAGTCGACACGCGATACTCTGGGTTGAGGAGAGTATCGGGGTAACGCAGCCGACCACAGTGAAGTCCCAGCAATGATATTAGTTGAGTAATATTGCTACAAATAACTAGATTCAATTGCTATATGTAACACATTTGGCTTTGGTGAACCCAATCAAATGTGGACAACCAAGTACTCAACGAGTTTTAATCCACCCAACTAAACATTAAAGGAGCATATACTGGGGACACAATTAAGAGGAACGAAATGGCACTGAAACATTTTGCCGATTGATGATAGTGTCATGTTCTTCCTTTTTTATCTTCTTTCCAGGTCCCACATCAAAGTATTCAGAAATTAGAATAATAGCTGCAATATGTGAAGGCTAACTGGCCAATCAACATTATAAATTTATAGTAGTATTTTAGGGATTACATTCAGAATGGGAATTACAGGGTAACCAACATTCATAATTTAAGGGTTCGTTTGGTATTGCAGTGGTTTTCTGTTTTTTGGTTTATTATTTTTCAAAATCATATGATATATGTCATATAATTTTAAAAATTGACAACAGAAAAGTAGAAACACGTTTTTTTTGTTTTCTTATTTGGTTTTTTGTTTTAAAAAAAAAAAACAAAACAAAAAACAAAAACAAAAAATTGAAAACAAAAAACGATGTCAAACAAACCCTAAACAAATCACAAATAAGCAAAAAAAATTACCTGAACCAATGCACCACCACCAGGAACATCACTGCCACAAGGACAACGAATTTTCCTTTCTAACTCATTTAGATCTTCAGCTTCCTCTTTAGGTTGCGTTCTGCTGCTACCTGAACAATTTTGTTTTTTTGCACTTGAGCCATTACTTCCCGATTCATGCATCTTTCTGGACTCCAAAGACAGCACAATTTTAATTAAAAAAATCCACAAGGGGTTAAAATCACAGTAAGACAGTGCATTCCTTGGAACAACAGGAAATCCACATATCAATCAAGGATAGGGACAAGTAAAAGTGTTTCTTAAACAATCTCTAAGCACTCGGGACTTTCACATAGTTCATGATCACCTTCCTTCTAACATGAGTATCTTATGAAACCCTAGCAGAGATTATGACCTATGTACCTCATGAAATGTGGCACATGGTGCACCTCAACTCATGTGACAGAGACCCTATTTTTATCCTTGCTTGATCAAGAGAGAGAAAAACAAAACAAAAAAAAAAAAAAAAAGATCAATTACTTGATCATCTTCTCTTGAACAAGATCAGAGGCAGACAGGCATCAATGTTGCCTCAGCTATAAGGCAACAGAATGCTCAGGAGTGAATTAAAACATGCATGCATGTGAACATGCAGTTATTTTTTCTTGAAAGTCCAAAGAGATACCTCATCCTCAACAATGTATTAGGACATTAGGTTGCAACTTACAAAATGTGATCTAATAAGTAACAACAAAAACAACAAAAAACTGAAAAGGTGCACAGTGTTTATAATCAGGCTTAACATCCAATTCATGAAAAAAAGGACAATTCACTGTTTCCAAGGTCAGACATAACAGTAGGATAGATAGTAACGCAATATATAAATAGCTGTTATACAATAGAGGATCTATGGAGAGCCTTTTCCCTCATTGCAAGGAGCTCGTTAAATTCTATAAACAGTTAAACACAACAAGGGGAGTAGTTCACCTGTAAGCATCTTCAATTATTTCCACCAATCCTTCCTTCCCATTGACATTATTCTTGAAGAGACCTGGAGCTGTAAACAAACAGCTGGTGTAAAAAAATACATCCAATGAAACAGACATGACCACATGCAGAGATACAAACTTGTAAGAAAAAAGAAGGTAACTGCACTAGATAAAAAAAATCTGGAAATAGATACAAGAAAAGATTCAAAGAATCAAGAAAGATGCATCTCATGGACTAAATTCCATTCAAATTAATCAACAGTTGACAAGAAAAAAGCGAAATACTCAAAAATGAATGACATGAAATTAACGGAAAAGTAAACAACGCAGAAGTAAGGCAACATGAGTAATATAAAGGTTGAAACTCACTGCCTTCATCATAAAGCAAGGCCAAAATTCTGTCCACAAGATCCTGCGTACAAGAATAATAGACAGGAAATGTTTTCTTAAAATCAGGAATTAAAAGAGAGACAGAAAAGGTAGTTGAAATAACATTGCATTCTATTATGTCCAAAAGCCATTCAACATTTGGTATATCTAAAGTCAAATATTAAATCAAGCAAGTATTACCTGCTTCCTCCCTTGCTTTGGAAGGCCTACTTGAGTAAGTACATCCTTTAGCTCTATTAACCGGAACTGTAACAACTTGTCCTACAAATGCAAAACAGTATTAATATAATGCACGGCTACTTCTTTATTAAAAATAAAATTAAGAAAACCCTATTTAATCTCTTAAGATATCTCACACATATGTGCATCACAGGACGCTTAGAGAAGATGAATTATATAATGGTCGATAAAACAGAATTCAAGATAATAGGAACATCATATCTTGACTACAAAAGGGAAAGGAATACTAAATTCCTCAATAGTTAATATCATACCTCAAAAATATGGCAATCGCAAAAAAATATAATAAACACAAGCCTATGCCTATCACTTGTTGTATTTAAGAAAAATCTGCAGTACCATTGATGACTTCTGTAGTTTTCTTTTCTTAACAAACTATCGAAAAACCTTCCTGCAGGACTCATTGTTTTCCTCTATTTTCTTCATCTGTTGTTCGTAAGGAATAGTAAGAGAAATCTTTCTAATGTGGATCTTTTATCAACTGAGAGTCTACTTTAGTTTCAAACATGACTCTCGTTGCACACTATCACCTTAGAGTTAAGATATCATAGGACTTTCTGCTTATGTATACTAACTTCTTTTTGAATGATGAACAAACATGAAGTATGTTGGAACTAGGAACAGATCTTCCTTCATTGACGTAGTTCATATGGGAAGACTTGAAAATCTCATGCCGTTTCCTACAGCATGACTTCTTTATTGTTTTCAAGATCCAATTAAGCCGTCCCAAGTTGACATCATATCATACCATCCTGCCGTCTAACATGAAAAATCACCCCTTAGCTAATATCATGCCACAACAGCACTTACAAATCTAGCCTCACACACGTTTACAATAACAATATAAAATACAGGATTTCGTCTGTTCTAATCTCAGGACTACTCATGCTACACCGTGATTCCCTCTATCTGTACAAATTTATCATTGTTCACCTAATAAGTATTTCCAACATTCTTTTTTAATTGCACGTTTGGGTTTTCACACTTGGAAATGCACGTTTTACAACATTAATATTTTGAAAATATATATCGAGACGAGTCGAGCAAGACCCCACATGATTATGTTTTTCCTTTAAATCACAAAAGACGATCAAACAAATGTGTGTGAACGGTGTAAAATACCCCATCATTGCAATTAAAAAAGAACAGAAGAAGTAAATAAATTATGAAAAATCAAGACTCACAAGAATCAGAACATCAAGCACAACTTGAGTCACTAAAAGACTCTATCTTCCACAAGTTAAATCTAAGGCAATGCTTATAAATGGAGAAACATTCAAGACCAACTTAAACATGGAAATCTATCATATGATTCCTGAGGGACATATATTTGGAAGTGATAAAGGTATATGGATGAGATAAACTTGAGTATGGAGCCTCATACCCCTAAGCTTCTCATCCCTCCCAAAATCCCCTGAATCTTTTACCCATCCCTCCCTCATAGATTGATATTTATACCTCCCCCTCCCTCTCTCTTCCCTCTGCCTACCTTCTTTCTCACCCAACCATCTTTATCTTTAGTTTGATATTAGTAGTAAAATGAGAATTTTTAAAACATTTGGAGAAGGGGAGTTAAATTTTATGATTAAGACAACCAAAAAGCTATATACTTCTCATTGTTGTACCATTTCTTATCAACTATTTGGACCAAATTCCCCCTAAGCATCCTAAATTTCCTGACAAAAAAAATTCAAGAAGTGGAAAAAGGAAAACCTAATCAATATACTATGACACTGCCAAGTAAGGTCCACAAGTTCTAAATTTGTATGAAAATCAAGGTAAGTGCAACACTATATCTTTTGTAATCAAACTACCGACAATTATAAGAAAACTCTCATTTTATTCACGCTCCTAGAAGGCCACTTTACCCGGCCCACAATCCTGAAGACTACAGTCTATTACTTCTGCAAATGAACTCCTAAAGAAAAGGCCAAAGCAACACTGAACTTAAAACCATTTCCAACTTGCTTAATAAGTAAAACACTCCCCACCCCCACCCCCAAAAGTTATCTCATAGCTGAAATATAGACAAACACACCCCATTACAGATTTATGAACTCTAGCAAGCTAACACAATACAATGCAAAAATGATAAGCCTTTTCCATTATTATTCTACCCTATACACAAACTCGGATCACCATCGTTTTGAACAACAAAAATTCACCGTGCAATAAGGAAGAAACGGGTGAAACCAATACATTAAACTCAAAAGCACAACTCGTGAAACGGAAGAATTTCTACACACCTTGCAAAAAATTAAAAATTAAAAAAAAAAAAAAAAAAAATCAAATTTTATAATACCTTGCAAGCAGTGATCAATTCCTCATCCATCTCCATACCCCAACTCGGAAACGATCACCTTTATCAAAATTGATCGATAGAAAAACCCTTCCAACACACTGGGTTGAAAAATTATTCACAGGACCCGAAATTGTAGCTGGGTAAAAAATTCAATTAAACAATCAGAGAAAAATCAAAATTAAACAATCGTAATCAATGAAAGTTTAATAAATTCTAAAAATTGGAGCAAATAATCCAATAAATATAGTTAGAATTAGAGGGAATTACTCGAATTGAAGAACCAAGAAAACCCCAGAAATTGAATGTTACGGAAACCCACAAAACTCAATTTGATTTTTACAGAATTAAAAAACAAAACCCTTTTTTTTGGGTTTTCTGCTGCTCAATCTTTGCGGGTTTTTTTCTTCTTTTTTTTTGTGAATTACTGTATATAATAGGTAGTGAGTACTAGGTTTTTGAAGGAGTGAGTAAAACAGGTAAGAGTTTTCTGGGTTGTCAGCTGATTAACTGAGTAGATGAAAGGGTAGTTTTTCCAAGGGTTTTTTTTTCCAAAAATAAAGTAGTTTCGAAAGGGTTTTGTTTGCCTTAAGAAAAACTAACCAAATGGACTTCGAATTTGAAGAGCACCACTTTGTGCATAATGGTTGACTTGTTGGGTCTATTGGGACTTGGGAGGGAAGAGTTGATCATGGGTGGGTTAGTCACAATTGAAAAATGATCGTGGATGGGTTAGTCACCATTGAAAAATTTTACACATTTTGGTTAGGTGGTGTGAAAATAAGTTAAAACATGCAATTTTTGGTTTGAGACTAGCTAAATTGGTTTATCAATGTATTTTGAAAATACTACATTGATTGAATAAAGATGATACAAGCTGAGATGGAAGGTGTAAAAAACAAAGTTGAAATACTAAATTGTTGCAAATGATACAAATTTGTAATTATTGATCTTTTATGTTACTCATGTTTGTGAGAAATTAAGAATAGACCTTTTAAAAAAATGGTGACAAAAAAGGACTTTATATGCGCTTTTTTCTGTAAAATGGGACCTTACATCGTATTTTGGGAGTTGACTATAAACTTTCGGCATGGACCCCCACGTGTCTGCCACACAATATTTAAAAAATAAAATATTTTGTCAGAAATGACCTTTTATGTCCTCATTTTTGTGACAAAGGGCCTTTTAGAGAAAAATTAGCAAAGTGGGACCTTTTGATGTGTTTTTGGTTAGTGGGATGAGACTTTATGTTGGATTCCGGGAGTTAATTTAACTTTCTGTCGTATATAATCACGTGCATGTCACATGCAATTTTGATGTAACAACTATTATTGTTGAATCTAGAAATGTGAGGCATATTAGTGTGAATTGACATATTGATAACTAATTATAAGTGTCTCTGAATTAATTATATAAGAAACTTTTCCATGCATGCATGTAGGGATGTCAGTGGGGCGGGTCAAATAGGAGACCCGCTTCATCCCCGCCCCAACGGATCTTGGTTTGGCGGGTGGTGGGGCGGGGATGGGGATAAAAACCATACCCGCCATGGGTGATGGGGCAGGGGTGGATTTTAGGTTGTACCCGCCCCATCCCCGCCCCGCCCCGCTCGCCCCGCTTCGTACCCACCCCATCCCCACCTACCCCACTTCGTACCCGCCCCATCCCCACATCCATATATTTTTTAAAACAAAATTATATACTTTTATACTATTTTACAAAAAAAAATTATTTAAAATAATATAGTAAATATAATATTTTGTATTACACTTATATTATAAACAAAAAAAATGTGTAATATTAACAATAATTTTTTTATTTTTGCAATCTTTATTAATTTTGAAGGATTGTGTATTTGGGAGGCGGGGATTAGGCGGGTCTTAGGTGGGGACTAGGTGGGGGTGGATATCCAAGTGGGGGTTGGGGTGGGGATTGTTTTAGAATTGTACCCGTCGGGGCGAGGATGGGGATGAATTTTAGACCCGCCGCGGGGATGGGGATGGGAAAGCCAACATCCGCCCTACCCCGCCCCATTGACATCCCTACATGCATGAGATTTAAGCTATTATCAACTATCAAGCAAAAATAATAGCTAAATAAAAATGTAAATGGTTGACAAAATTGTCAGATTTTTGAAGATCAAACATTATTATGGTCGACAGCCTACCCTAAATTCATACAAAGACCTATCATGTGGAACTATTTCAAAGTGTAATTGGTGTAATATATATAATGCTTCTCTTAAGAAAGCTGATCATGCATAACTTTGTAAAACATTTTAGTCCACCCTTTGAAATAATATATCTCTTCACTACTTATTGAAAATATAATCTAGATTTTTTTTCCACTCGACAATATCAATCCCATGATATATCTGAAGGATTTATGTCTTCATCGAGTGCAATTACTAAATATATAATAGATCAAATTATGGAGACAATTAAGTTCGTTCTTTTGGGTCGTCGTTATATCATAGCTAGAGGTACTAACGATCTTTGGGCTAGTAAAATAGGCCAAAGCCCAATTGAACGGATCCTATAAGGTCACACAAAGGGTCTAGATTTAAGCATAAGAGGAAGAGGCCCATGATGGGCCTCATCCCCTAGGTGGTCGGCCATGTGGGTAGGTTTAGAGGGTTTGGGCTTTGCTTCCTAGTCTAATTATAATAAGATTATAAATAGACTAGGTGCCTAGGGTTGAATATAACATTGATTATCAATAAATCAAACCCTAATTAGCAAACACAGGCCAAGCTTCTCTCAAACTCCCACTCTCTCACGGCTCTCTCGGTCTTTCCCCTCCTCGGCGCCGGTGGTTGTGCACGGTGGTGGTGGCCGGTTGTCCATAAAAGGTGGTGATCGTGGTTTTCCCCTTCGCTCGACCAATCTAGTATTGGTGGACTACTTGATCGAATCCCGTTGACTAAGTAGAGGAGTCACGCTTGGGGATCTATTCTCTCCCTGATTTGTCAATCAATTTGCTACGTGGAAATCACGCTTCAAAGGTATAATTATGTGATTCTTGTGTGTTATGCATGCGATCTTGTTTTAGGTGCGTATGAATATGATTCATGAAATTTCGCTTAGAGTACCTATATCCCTACAATATCTTGTCTGCATTTGGTCACCAATGATTGCACAAAACATATTATTTTTGTACTTTTGTGTTTATTAATAATAAAAATAATACATTAATTTGGAATAATGAATAATTTCAATCATTCAAACAAGATCTGTCTAAGCAATCTAGGAATTGAAAAACAAAATGTGTACCACTACCTATTGTGTTATACGAGTACATCATATATACAACAGAATACGTAGGTAAAGTAGTCAAAAACATTGAAAAATAGCATAAGTAAGAAGAGAAGGCTATCCCCAGCTAAGCATGGCCAGAAGAAGACTAACTTTGAAACTCTATTGTCAACTGCCAAAAAAAAAAAGAAAGAAATAAAAATCAAGCCCTTGTCAAGCATACATAGCCAAAAGAGATTCATGCACTTATTTCTACCTTTTGTGTCATGTTTAATGATTGTTCAATTGGATGCCATATAGCTCAAATATTAAAGGGGTAGAAGCAACATTGGCTTCAGTTATTACTTATTAGGCATTTATGATCTATCACGATCAACTCATTATATTAGGAAGAAACATTGTGAAAACGAAGGGGAATAATAACTACCCATACGTAATATAAATTTATTGATAAACCATGTCTATATTTCATCAACGCAACCTACAAACAAAAGTAAACCATTAATTAAGTTATCATTTTTTTTATTTAATATCAAATTAGGTTTTCTTATTTAAAGCTTAATCATTATGTCCATGATAATCATCAAAAGACTAAAAATAAAACAAATGAGTTTAGATTGAAAAACGCATTTAGATAACTGAGAAATTCTTATGCTTAAAATTTATAAAGAGAGAAGTTAGCCTCTTGAATGCTGATCAATTTTTTCCTTTTTGCTTAAAATTCAACACAGCAATATTATCTTACTACTACATTTATCTTCTATCCAACTCTGTATATCATTCTTTCCCTAGTCTTCCTTAGTTCCATGATCTTACTTTAATTTATAATATAGTGTATGTGTCCCTTCCCCCCTCTCCCTGCCAAACAAAATTAGTGGGGTAAGGGAGAATTGCATATATGCAACACTACCACCCTTGCAATAACATAGAGCAAGGCCATATGCTTATTCACAATATATAAGAAGAAAAACCTACTTATTGGCAATATAATTACTTTAGGTTTAGATTTGCTCTTAATTGATTTCTCTTTCCATATTGTTTTTATTTGTTTACTCTCCCTTACCTCGTCACAACACTATATAATCATATGTATTATATTATAACCAAAAAATCTACTTTATTATAAACTAAAGAATATGAAAGATGCAATGAATATTTTTCTATCGTATATTATAATTATGTTGTTACATATATATACTTACATGCTGCAAGAAATGTCAATTTAAGAAAATCGTGTAATAAGGATATATATAGATAAAATTTAAAAAGAGAGACATGTCTAATATAAAGGATAAATGGAGAGAGACATCGTATGTAAATAAGGAAACAATAGAAAAGGATGAAATGGAAAAGAGAACCACATAAGAGGAAGAAGTTGTAATATTTATGATATGGATGAATGATCAAATTACATTATCGCACAAGAGTTGGCATTTTCATCGCTAAAAATTGTAAAAATTGGGTTGTCATTCCCATAATAATTTCCATCATACCACATCGAAAATTTATCTAAACTAAATTTGTAATCTAAGTTGTCTTCACCCAATCTCGTTTCTCCTTCACTTAAGATTCCTCTCTTACCTTTATTATCAATGCCTTCATATTCAATAACATGCACTTTTTTCCCAATCTTTTTCTTCAATTTCTTTAAAACCTTCTCAGGACAAAAACGCCCTATAATTATCACTTTATTTCTTGTCATATCAGTAATAAACTTTTCAACTCCTGCATTATTGATATATAGACATTGTTTAATTTAAAATATTATTTAGCATTAGATAGGTTCAATCTTACATCAATAAAATTAAAGAAAAATAAATACCTTTTATTTTAGAAACAACATTAGCTACCTTTTTCTCACATGCATTGCAATGCATGGATATATTGAAATGTACTTCAACCACCTAGAATAAACATAATAAAGGCAAATTAAGATTAATAATGATAAATCAACCAAATCAATAACAATATAACATAAATTAATGTATTTTCCTATTATATATGTTCTTCTTTTGATATATATTCAAATTATTGATTATGATGTAATAAAAAAGATTTTTGATATCATAAAGCAAACAATAAGGAATCGAAATGAGGAATAGAAGGTAGAGAAAAAGGATTGAGAAAAAGAATAAAGGCCAAGCTTACATCTCTTACTTGATGATCCCGTCCTTGTTTGTGTTTACCCATTAGATTGTTGGTTAGAAAAAAAAAAATAATGATATAAAATTATGTGAAATAATGTAGGAGTTAGTTAGAGATAACTATTTCTCTTGTCCGAGATCTTATCAAAATATACTATTGATGGTACATTGATATTGCATATCAAAACTATTGTTTATAAACTTTTTTACAATTTTAAAAATTATGACTTTACAAAATGAGTAAGTTTATTCTTTGAATAAAAATGTTATATGCATGTATCATGTTTAATGTTATAGATTTGACCCCTTAAAATAGAAGATTTTCATGAATCATCATCTAGTGTAAAATATTGACCAAGATTGAACATTAGATGAGAATTGAAAATTTTATTCAATTTTTATATTTTGACTTCTAAACAAAACATTACGCATTAATGTTGTTTTAATTTTTTT